CAGGAACCTTTACTGAAGTTGCAGCAACTTCAGTAGTGTCAATTGGAAACGTCTCTTATAGAGATACATGGCATTTCACGTCTTGCGACTTTGGGTCTCACAAGTTGCAAAGTTACATAGTTAGTCTGGCTGAAAAAAGACAAAAGTCCATCCAGTTCAACCACTAAAAAAAAAAAAAAAAAAAAAAAAAAAAAAAAAGTAGTAATCGTATACCCCACAGTTGATCCAGAGGAAGGAAAAAAAAAAAAAAACAAAACAAAACAGCAAACCATGATCCAATTTGCTCCTGCAGGGAAAAAAATTCCTTCCTGATCCCCTGCGAGGCAACCGGATATTCCCTGGATAAACTTTACCTATAAATGTTAGTATCCAGTTATATTCTGTGTATCTAGGAAAGAATCCAGGCCTTTTTAAACCAATCCACTGAGCTGACCAGAACCAACTCTTGAGGGAGTCTATTCCACATTTTCACAGCTCTTACTGTGAAGAAACCTTTCCAGGTTTGATTTCTTTTCCTCCAGATTTCTTTTCCTCCAGACGTAAAGAGTGCCCCCTTGTCCTCTGTGATGACCTCGGGTGAATAACTCTACACTGAGTTCACTGTATGAACCACTGATGTATTTATACATGTTGATCATATCCCCCCTTAATCTCCTCTTCTCAAGAGAGTATTAAGTTGTATCCCAAGTTGCAGGAGTGTGAACTTCTTAAAGGGCACCTGCACCCAGACTATGCACACAAAAGTATTTACATGGTCTTACTGCAGACCTTGCACCTCTGTGATGAGTTTCACTTATTCAAGGTGCTCCCTAACCCCAAGATGCTAGATGAAAGCATAAAAAAAAAAAAATAGTTTGGGTAGACTGTATAATATTTTCATCTTTCCAGACTTTTTTCTGCAGCACCTAGGTAAGGGTGATGTTGTCCTTCTAGCCAGATCCAAAATCTCACAAGATGTTCCTGCACTGCATTGCAAAGTCTCATGAGATTTGACCCCGCATGGTTAGAAACTTGGTACCATTCAAGATTGAAAAAATGATCATGAGTTAGTCAGAGTTCCCAGCAATCTTGTCTGAAGGACATCACTTGCTGTACTACAGACGTTGGAGGTAGGCGAGTATATTATCCAATCCCTCCTCCAGGATCTTCCTCTCTAGCTGCATGCATTGTGAAGCAATTCATTCTCAGGCCAAGGTCATCTATCCATGTCAGCTTTTGTCCATTGTTTAGTGCCTCATTTATCTTGTAGTGTTGTAGGGTTCTAACACTTGCCTATTCCAGGCTACAATTTTTTTTGCTTAAGGGTTCTTTTTTTTTTTTTTTTTTTTTTTTTTTTTACACCACAGTCATACACATGCACATATAATTTGGCTACTAACTACTTAACCTACCTATAGATTTTTGGTACTGGCAAGAATCTGATAAATGGATAAAGTCCTCTAAAAAACATGCAGGCTCCATACTGAAAACAGACTCCCCTAGTTGGAATCAAAGCCACTACCAAACTGCTGGTAGGGAAGAACGTCATGCACTAAGCCATATACTGTATATGTAGTACATATTGTGGGCTGTGTATGTGATGTTTTTAAGCTGGCCATAGATGGCTCACAAGTGGCCCAATTTCAATCCATCTATGGGTAGGCTGGTTGTACTGAAGTTGATCCATCAATTGACTTCAGTACAAACAGCCTGACAGGTTTTTGTATGAGATCACTGCTGGCGGCTACACCAGCCAGCAGTGATCATAGTATTCTGCCAACATAGAGTGCAGGGAGCCTTCCCCACCAGCAGAACACAATAGCACTGTGGGAGGGATTCCCCTAGAAACGCTGACTGTGTCAATGGGGGAATCAAGCAATTATATTTTCTTCAAACCGTGGTTGAAGTAAAGAAAATTGCATAAAGTTTGGCCTGCCTTACAGCATTCAGCAGGATATTGTGTAGAAACTACTCTGTCATTTAGAGGTTTCACAGCAAACCAACAGGGTTGCCAAATGGTAATTAAGCAAGGGATTTTCTTCCTGTATTGTGTGCACACAAAATGACACAATTCAGCAGTTCTATGTGACAATGCTGTGGCCCCGCACTGTGGGACCTCACTTCCCTGCAGAAGCCATCAAACCTTACATAGTCCCTTCTACAGGTTTAGGCAAGGACAGCCATTTCTGGATAAAATCCATTTTTTTATTTTTTAGCACAGCATCTAGGATGAGAAGTCTAAAACTGAAATAAAAAAGGAAGCTGTTGCCCATAATGGTCAGATTTAGTCAGTGAATTTTTCACCACTATTAGAACATGAAAGCCAGTATTGGACTGGTTACTGCTGCACTCATCGTGTTTTGAATCCAGTTTTAGAAGAACAATACAGACCATCAGAACTCCCCCCTTTGTGGTTGGCCAAGTGTGATTGTAATTGGTGTACTTCTGCACCTGGCCCTTGGGTGTGCATGGCCTTCTATGAAAATAGTCTGTTTCCTGATAGGACCCAAAGGATAATGTCAAGGGAATAAATTCCTCTGTCCCCAAAGCCTCACCTTTCTGTGGGTAGTTCCTCTCTCCGCACCCAGTGTCACAATTTGAAAATAGTATGGCTGTGCAGGGCTCCCGCCCACGCGGCTGCGTCATTCACTCGCAGTTTTGACGCAATTACCGGCAGCCATTGCGGCAGACGGCTTTTTGTTCTCAATGAACTGTGAGGGCTCTTGTAGTTCATTGATCTTCCTGCTCTAAAGTAACGGCCTGCCGATACGAGGTACAGGCAGACAGCTATCCTCAGAGTCTGCAGGAGCCTGATGTTGCACCCACAATCTACTAATCGCGGGTGCAATACTCTGCAGGCTCCTTAGAGAAAAATAAATGCATATATTTTATTAACCTGCAAAAAATGTGCATTTATAATTTTTTTCAAATGTGAACTTCCCCCTTAATATAATACATTACCTATAGGGGGTCTCATCCTACAAGTTAAACAGCTTTGCTGTCCATGTCCATTACTGTTATTATTTAATTCATTCTACAATATACACCCATGTGAACGAGGACAAAGTATTACACCTTATCCCTGCACCTCCAGGCTAGACAAATATTAAACACTTGCAGTGCAGGCAGGCAGGTCCCACTGCAAAGGTAGAGTCTGCCTAATTCCTGGAGTTCAGCTTTAAGCCCACGTACCATCCAACACAGGGTTAGGGGTCCCAAGCCAAGGGGAAGGTATTAGAGGCTGAGGGGGTTGCCTGAAGGGGCAATACTGAATTATCTATGATGGAATATGGATATAAAAAAAGAACGGAATGTTTGCAACAACATGTATGGTTGATTAAAGTAAACACAGCTTAATCTTATTTACTAAAAACTCGGTAAACATTCACATTGCAAAGTAAACAGTCTCTATTCCTTAAGAAAATCATTCCCTACTGAAAACAATAACTCATCCCGTAATCAAAGTCTTCTATCAGACCTTTAAAGCATGCTGCAATCTGCACGTGCTCTGCTGTCTCTTTAGATAACCCACAATGCTTTGGAAATCCTCTGCTGTATCTTAAAAGTTTATTTGTAAACCAAATATTGAATTTATAATATGAGGTGGTATCAAAAAGTTTGAGACTAGCTCTGTTTACAAGAAAGTACTTTATCTACGTTTACACACAAATCACCTCCAAAATAGTCCCCTTGCACAGCAATGCAGCGCTCCCAGTGTTCCTGCCACTTCTGGAACGTGTCCTGGAAGTCTTCTTTTCGAAGCGTGTTAAGCATCTTCTGATATTCGCGCTGGATCTCCACACTGTTGTCAAAATGGCGACCTTTGGGCTGGATCTCCATCTTTGGGAAGAGGGCAAAGTCTGCAGGAGCCAAATGTGGCGATTAGGGTGGGTGCGGAAGTGAGATCATTGCAGCCCAGGAATGAAACTGGCAGCAACGCGGCACATGTTCAGATCACATGTGAGAATTGCCTGGACTGTTCTGTATGACACACCGACAATGGCAGCAATGTTGTGGATTGTTCTCCGACGATCGTCATGCACAAGTTGCCGAATGGCTTTGACAGTTTCAGGGGATGTGCTCATTGAAGGTCTTTCCTGATCGCTCATCGTCTCCAGTGATGTTCTTCCGCTCTTGAAGAGCGCTTGCCACTCGAAACACCTGGGATGATTCATTGCAGCATTGCCGTAAACTTGCAGAATCATGTCAAATGTCTCCGTGGCAGATTTGCCCAGTTTCGTGCAGAATTTCACATCTGCTCTATGTTCTTACTGTCCATGATGATATAGCAGACTATGTAATGCACATGGTCAGAATAGCACCAGTTGCACAGCTCCCGATGCACACAGGACGATGTCTTTTGGCACACTGACTTGTGAAGGTCGGTGCTCCCTGTGATGGTGCATGCAGCCTTGTGCTGCCATCTGTTGGCATGTTACGAAACAGTTTGATACCACCTCATATACTAACAACAATTTAAAAAAAAAAAAAAAAAAAAAAAAAAAACGTAAAAACTTTAAAGCCTAATACTGGGAAAGTTTTTCTTGAGACATTTGCATGTCAAAACAAACCTGCTCTGATGATGGGTGCACTTTGTGTAGGTGGTGCCACGCTCGCGATGGTAAACACGCTTACTTTTATTCATCCTGGAGAGTACTGTAAGAGCACCAATCTTGCAGCACTGAAAGTTAAAGTTCCAAAGATAGTACAGAGAGGATGGTAGTTTGCTTGGACTACACCTCATCCGCACCTAACTTCTCTTGTATTTCTTTCACAGAATACAAGGCTTCTGTGAAAGGAGAAGAGGGGCAGATAAACATCACAATCTCCCCTCATCCAATCACAGAACTCGCCTTTTATTCTGTGAAAAAAATATAAAATATTTTACTACTGTACTATCACTGGAGCTATAAGTTGCAGCACCAGAAGTTAACACTTACGGTACCGTCCAGGATGAAAGTAAAGTTTAGGGATTTAGTGTTGCAGCAGAGCAAAAAAAAAAAAAAAAAAGGATGACTTACCGAAGCACCAATCACAATGAAGATGTGGGTCTGTGTCTGTTGGAAATCCTCCTCACTGTACAGCTCTTCCCTCATTATACCGCACACCTCCGACCTGCTCAGGTGCACATGCTCCTGGGCTGCGCTCATCTTGGGCTCTGTAGGGGAAGAGGAGAGGCGATGAGCATTCCAGTAGAGTGGGAAATGTCACCAAATATACAATCATGAACACGCATACACAAAGAAAGACGGTGATGGAAGAGAATGGGAGTTCTAGGGAACAGGTGCTAAATGGCATCCTTATTCTCCAAAAATAAGTCATACATCCGCTACTTTTGTCCCTGTAAATTGTTTCTTAATGTTTTTTTTTTGCCTCCTTGCAACATACTCTGTGAGCTCCCAGAGCTCTCCATTTCCCTCTCACTTCTATTTGTTTGGAACAAGCACTGCATGTTAGTTCTGGCCAAGTGCACTGCTTTATGCACACTACAAATCCCACAGTCCAGGAGAGAGTGCCTATGGTCCTACATACAGTGGAACCATGGAGAACAAATGCAGTTAGATTGTAAGTGCCAAGGAGCACCTAACCCCCTTGTATTGAACTGTATTGTTGCTGTATTGTCTTCCATTATATTGTAAAGCACTGAGCAAACTGTTGGCGCTATATAAATCCTGTATAATAATAATAATAATAGTCCTACTCCTCCTACAGGAGGTCGGATCACAGACAAAAAAAAAAAAAAAAAAAAAACGAAACTGGAAGAGGTTGAGAGCAATAGCAGGAACTTTAAGAATACATAGTTAGGTTGTAAAGAGACCATCTGTGTCACCCATACTCGAGTACTTTTTCTTTTATGTCACTTTATTTGAAAACTTACAGCCAATAACAAAGCATCCTGGAACAATCACAAACATTGGTGATAACCACCGAGCCCAGGTTCACACCAATGTGGTGTGGGAAACGCTGTGAATCCTGTGCGTTTCCCGCACTGCATTGTAATCGCATCACGTTCATGCAATCTGGTGTGGGTGTCAATAAATTAATGACACCCCGAAACAGATTGCAAAATGCGATTGCCAGTGAACATCCATGCAATGCAATTCAGGTGCAGATTAAAAAAAAAAAAAAAAAAGTCCTGCATCTTTTTGGTGCGCATGCGATCCGAGCTATACAAAGTGTATGGCCCAAATCGCACTACACAGACATTTGCATGTAATGTGCACAGGAATGCGGTGCAATTCCTGTGCAAATTACTTGCAGTGTCCTGCAGTGCATAGTGTGAACCCGCTGTCAATTGTACAGATACTCCACATTCCTCCCAGAGATACTACCTTTACATTACATGCATTATACTCTCCAAGTGGACTGTAACATTTCTAATTACAATGTATAGACATCACGTGTTCACCGATCAAGGAGCAGGAATGGGGTGTCTGTAAAGTCCATCTGCTCACCTGAAATAGTGGACAACTGAGCTTGGCTTATGAGCACACTAAGGGGTTAATTTACTAAAGGCAAATAGTCTGTGCACTGCAATGAAGGGACGCTCTGCTGATTTCTATCATCCAATCATGTGCAAGCAAAAAAAAATGCTGGTTTTTATTTGCCTTGCATGTGATTCGGTATTCTTTACAAAACAAAGTTTCGCCTCATTTACTAAGCTCTGGATCAGCTGCATTTGTAGTGCACAGTAGATTTGCCTTTAGTAAATCAATCCCTAAGTGGCTAAACTTATCAGATAGCAAAGGCCATGTGATACAATCAGTCAGAACTATTCTTTTGGTGTTCGGAGTGCAAAATGTTGAAACCTGATTGGTTCCTGTGGGTTGCAGTGCCTGGTTTGGAACACAAAGCAGACTGGTGTCTTTGGGCCACGTGGCCCCCATACTCCTATTTTATATGCAGCTGTAGTCAGCAGTCACACCGCTGCAATTTCAAATCGCATGATTTGTGTACAATTTCTAAAGACTTTATTGCTACTTACTATAGTTACATCGTTAGTCTGGCTAAAAAAAGACAAAAGTCCATCCAGTTCAGCCAGAAAAAAAAAGTTATAATCCTATACCCACAGTTGATCCAGAGGAAGGAAAAAAACCCCAGCAAAGCATGATCCAATTTGCTCCTACAGGGAAAAAAATTCCTTCCTGATCCCCCGAGAGGCAATCGGATATTCCCTGGATCAACTTGTGCAGATTTTCAACGATTTCTTGTAATCTGCAGTGCGATTTCCATTATATTCTATGTATGTGAAAATCGCAACAAAACCGCAGAAAAAGTAATGTAAGAAATCGCACTGCAGCAAATCACACACATTAAGACACTGACATTCACATTCATTAGGTGTGATTTCAATTCACAAATCGCACTGGTATGACTGGGCACTTAACCAGGTCAAGTCTTATTTGTTAAATTGTCCACACAAATTTCAATGTAACTGTACAATATTGATTATCTCTCTCAACCATCATTGCTCAGGTTTATTCCTTATGCTTCTAGCCTTAGTAAATAAATAGGAAGGTATATTTTATGTAGGTGGCATTCACACCTAAGAGATTTTCTGCTTGAAAACACTCAACAAGCCAAATCCCATTCATTTCAATGGCCCCCGTTCACACATGAGTGTTCTGTTGCCTGAAGCAAAACGCTCAAAAAAGTACATGAGGTTCTTTTTAGCAGATTAGGAGCATTTTTTGGCCCCATAGACTTCAATAGGAATGCCTGAAAATGTGTGACTTGAGCATTTTACATTTTGTTGTGCGTTTTTCTGCTTAAACAGCAGCTCTCCAACTCTAATTTCTTCCCCCTAGTCACTAGTGCTTTCGATTGGCTAAACAAAAGCACTTGAAGCTGTAAAATACTTGTAATACACTTCTAAAAATGCTCAAAAACTCTCAAATGAAACGCCAGTAAATCTCTCTGCTCAGGTGTGAATGCAGCCTTACTTTTTTTAAACCTTTTTTTTTTTATACATTTCTGCAGTCGTTTCCTAGTTTCTGGTCTCCAAAATTATGTCATCCATCCCAGAAGTCTTTACGGGCATTTTTTTCCTTTCATCTGGAGGAGGAGCTTTCTCAGCTAAGTACACCCTCGTGCCTGAGCTAAGGGCAGATGGATTCCAAGAAGTAAATGCTACATGAATCATCTGCCCTTACTCAAGATGACCAAGGTCAGCAATGCTAGGGGGTGTTTTTCAACGTGTTTTCTCAGCAACATAAATCACGGAGACATGGATGGATGGGGGAGTTTACTTTGAATATTAAAAAGCGTTTTCAGTTTGTGGAGCTCAGATACAGTTTAGTTCCACTTTAATTCTGCCGAAACCATATGATCTGTAAAAAACCAAGAAGAATGCATTGAGACCAACATTTTTACTTTTATTTATTAATTTAATATTATTAGGTTTTGTTTTTTTTTAAATAAACCGCCAGTCCTGGCTGCAATGCTCGCCTCCTCTCTGGCGCGGTCTCCCATGGACATTCCTTAACACCATTGGTTGTCAAAAATACTGGGCATTTTGACCTTAATGCTTTGAATACATTAAAGGTAAACAGTGTAGCCTTCATCACTACTAAATTCCGCAGTGGTTGGCTTTTCAGAGGCATCGGACAGGTGGAGAGGAGATATGTTACCGCCTGATTGCCTGTTTTAAACCCCGCAAATGGCACACTGCCACGAGCAATGCATGCAGTTGCAGGGAGGAGCGGACACGGCTCCGTTCACCTGAATAGGACACATTTGGCAGAAGTACTGCGACAGAAGATATCATTCTGGCCACAGCCGCAAAGCATCACAATCGCACCATTTGTACACCTCCACGTGGCTGCCCTTTGCGGGGGGCGGTTGGAGAAGCAGAATAAACAATTGCTCCTTCAGCATGCAACATATACAGTGAATGTAAAGCTGGCCATAGATGGGAAGAAAACTGATAAAAAAATAATAATCTGAAACACTCGGGTTTGTTCAATTTTCCAAATATTAGTGGGCTCATTTCAAATCTCGAAACACAAAGATTTATGACAAAAACTGAACCGACATGTTGGAAGTTTGTGGTGCCAATGAATGATTTGAGTAAGTATTGGAGTAGTTTGGGAACAACACAAAAACTACTGTGCATGGGAATGTGAAATCGATCGACGACAAAAAAAAAAAAAAATACATTTTATATTGTAAACGAACAACAATATGCTCTAAAGTGGAGGCAAAAAAATTTGTATCAATGATGGTGTAATCACAAGATCATTCGACAGATCATTATCAAATGCAAATTTTCAAATGATTTTCTACCCATGTAAGGCTTTGGGCCCCATTCACAATTATCACCTGCATTCTCGTAGCACATGAAAACGTGCTATATTCTGTCAGGCACGCTGCAGTACCATTCATTCTTAATGACACTCTAAATGCACCAGCCAAAGCATATGTGCTAAATTGCACCACAACACATGGTAATCTATTGGCATGTGTTGTAATGTGATATAAACACACACACAAAAAAAAAAAAAAAGAAGGACCTGTGCTTCTTCTTTGAATGATTGTCACATGTAGGGCAGTCTATTGAGATCAATGGACCACCCTAGGGCGGACTGACCATTTGGAAACTCGGGCACTGCCCGAGGGCCCGGGGTCAGTAGGGGGCGCCATGAGATGCCCCTGGTACCTTTTTCATAGGCTTTTTTGAGTTTGGGCAAGCACACAGGGGCCCCATGATCTCCTATTCCTGGGGGCCCCATGAATGTCAGTCCGCCCCTGGGACCACCCTAAACACAATACATGTGCAAAGGTGTGAATGGGAGGCTTAAATCCATAAACGATATGGCCCCTTACACACAGGCGTTCCGTATGTCTGTTTTTCATCTGTCCGTTTACAGATGAAAAACAGACACCCATGTATTTCTATGGACTAATGGATGTAAATGGATGATCATCTGTTTACATCTGTTAACTGCTTCCCAACCGCCCTATAGCAGACATACTGCTACAGGGCGGCACAGGTGCGCAAAATCACGATTCTGCACTTCCAGATAGGGGGAGTGCAAGAGGCGCGAGCGCGTCCTACCTGCCATTCGTGGCAGCGGCTGTCAATCACTGGGTCCCGCCTGGTGATTACTCGCCAGGTGCTCAGTGATTGCTGAGGATCTTCGAAGGGGAG